GTATATACACTTGATTGTGGTACAGATTTGAACTACGTGCAGGCAAAATACATGATATCCCCTTTTAACGTAACACTAAACTGCTGCAGATGTTTTATCAGTCTGTGGTGGCCAGTGTCGTTTTATGCTGCAGTGAAAAAGGGGCACCGAGAGAAAAGACRATTGTGAGGAGGGCTGGTTCGGCTGTTGCTGGACTCGGTTGGAACCGTAGCTGTGAAGAGGACCTTAGAAAAGCTGCTGGCCATATGGGTCAACAATCTACATCCTATAGAAAGTATTTAGTGCGCACCAGAGAATACTTTGGGGTAGCCTAGCAAACTAAATGTAGAACTAAAACTACATTAGACAATGGCTTCAGAGGGATTTACATMAAATTACTTTCATCAAAACACAAAATGTCCCAGATGTCACTCAAAAACTCATTGAAGTTGAGATACAGTAAGGCCAAAAATTATTTGGTCAGTCACTGACGGTACAAGTTCTACTAAGAAAGGTGAGAGAGGTCTGTAATTTTCWTTATAGGTACACTTCAACTATGAGAGACAGAACGAGAAAGGAAAATCCAGGAAATTACATTGTAGGATTTTTAAAGAATTTATTTGTAAATTATGGTGGAAAATAAGTATTTGGTCACCCACAAACAAGATTTCTGGCTCTCAAAGACCTGTAACTTCTTTAAGTAGCTCTTTTTTCCTCCACCTGCTAGCTCTATTAATGGCCTGTGTTTGACCTCATTATCTGTTTAAGACACCTGTCCACAGCCTCAAACTGTCAGACTCCAAACTCAACCATTCACAAGACCAAAGAGATGTCGAAGGACACCAGGAAAAAACCTTTTGACCTGCACCAGGCTGGGAAGAAAGAATCTACAATAGGCAAGCAGCTTGGTGTGAAGAAATCAACTGTAGGAGCAATAATTAGAAAATGGATGACCTGCAAGACCACTGATAATCTCCCGCTATCTGGGGCCCCACACAAGATCTCATCGCGTGGGGTCAAAGTGATCACGAAAACGGTAAGCAAAAATCCCAGAACTACATGGAACTATATAAATAACTTGCAGAGAGCTGGAAGCAAAGTAATCAAGGCTACCATCAGTAAGACACTACGCCGAGCGGGACTCAAATCCTGCAAAGCCAGGCGTGTCCCCTTCCTTAAGCCAGTATACAGTATGTACAGGCCTGTCTCAGTGAACATATGGATGATCCAGAAGAGGACTRSGAGAGTTTTTGGWAAAAACTCAACTCGTCRTGTTTGGAAGTAAAAGAATACTGAATTGCATCTCAAGGACACCATATCTACTGTGAAGCATGGGGGTGGAAACATCATGCTTTGGGGCTGTTCTTCTGCAAAGGGGACAGGACAACCGATCCGTGTTAAGGGAAGAATGAACAGAGCCATGTTTCATGAGATTTTAAGCCAAACCCCCATTCCATCAGCGTTAGCATTGAAGAAGGAACGTGGCTGGGTCTTCTAGCATGACAATGATCCCAAACACACTGCTCGGGCAATGAAGAGGTGGATCTGTAAAAAGTATTTCAAGGTCCTGGAGTGGCCTAGCCAGTCATCAGACCTCAACACTATAGAAAACCTTTGGAGGGAGTTAAAAGACTGTGTTGCCCAGTGACAGCCGCAAAACATCACTGCTCTAGAGAAGATCTGCATGGAGGAATTGGTCAACATACCAGCAACAGTGTGTGCCAACCTTGTGAAGACTTACAGAAAACGTTTGATCTCTGTCATTGCACACAAATGTTATTTTACTAAGTATTGAGTTGAATTTTTGTTGTTGATCAAATACTTATTTTCCACCATAATTTACAAAAAAATTTAAATCCTACAATGTAATTTTCTGGATTTTCCTTTCTCATTTTGTCTCTCATAGTTGAGGTGTACCTATGATGAAAATTACAGACCTCTCTCACCTTTCTCAGTAGAAGAACATGCTCAATCACTCTAAATTATATAACTGTTGTCAAATCCTTTTAAATGGTAAATGGTCTGAATTTATATAGTATTTTATCAAGCCCAGTTGGACTCCAAAGCACTTTACACTTACAGTCATTCACACACTGATGGCGGTAAGCCACACTGTAACCACAGCTGCCTTGGTGCACACTGACAGAGGTGGGCCTGCCATAAACTGACGCCACTGGACCTTCTGACCACCATAAGTAGGCAAGATGTGGGAAGTGTCTTGCCCAAGGACACAACTGAGACAGCAACGACTGGAACGAGGGATCAAACTGGTAACCCTCCGGATACAGGACAACTCCCCTAACCACWCTGCCACAGCAGCTTTTGATCTCAAATGCAATTTGAGAACAAAATATACATCAAATAWATCTTGTTTCACTTTCCAAACTGAAAAAGACTAAAATACTCTAGATATTCTCTTGAATATAATGGTTGGKGCGAATCAGATCCTCTTTTGGTGGCCACTAAACATTGTGCGAGCACCAGATCTGCTATTCGTGAGCATGAGAAATATATTTATTATTTTTTGCACCAGAGAGAAACCTATGTGAAACCTTTTCCACTACGAACTCTTAGCTTAGCTCTAAGCTTCAGGTTCCCTTAAATGTTCCGTACCCATTTCTCTCATCAGTCTAGTGTCAATCTAATTAGTAGAAAATGTTCCCTCAGCTGTTTCTTATTTGAACTTACTGTGTTCTATTATCAATAAAATATGGGGCTTTGGGATAGTTTTATCAGTAAACAGTTCTTTATTAAGGTCAATTCAATAGGCATATATGTCATAGGCTGGACAGATAGGGCAAGCTGGTGGAGGTGACATGAATCACAGTGGGCACTGAACCCAGCCAGCAGAGAAGTGGGAGGTCAGTGAACGGGTACCAGTGCCTGACCATTATGCTGTAATCCTCCCTAGCTCTTCTGGAAAAACTGAATAGCACTAGAATCACTGACTCAATTTTTGGATCTCATTTTCATGACAAAGCAATTGTTCCCCTTTTGCCTTTGCTGTTGCTGTTTATAAATGTGTGTGTGGGGAGGGTGGATTGGAAGGTATAAAAGACACTGACTGAATGACCAGAGCAACATCAAGACCTCAGAGAATCCACCACCATCATTCCTCAGTGTACCACACATCGTATTCAACATGGGCAGGGTGAGTCGGCATGTCTGTAGTCTGCAGACCAAATAGTGTCCTGCATGTTTTCTTCTAGAAAATATTAAAGTAGTGCAGCACTGGAAAAAAAAAAAGCTATTACAAAGTGATTTAGCAGCTCAGCTATCTGACCTTTTTAAGATGAAACATCCATAGAGAATACTCACACTCTCCCTCTTCTGCTCCAGATCATCTTTTTTGAGGACAAGAACTTCCAGGGTCGACGCTATGAGTGTGACAGCGACTGTTTGGATTTTCACACTTACCTGAGCCGCTGCAACTCCATCCGCGTGGAGAGTGGGGCTTGGGTAGTGTACGAAAGGCCCAACTACATGGGCTACCAGTATATCCTGGTCAGGGGAGAGTACCCTGAGTACCAGCGCTGGATGGGGCTGAGTGATCGCCTCAGCTCCTGCAAGATGATCCACTTTGTAAGTCAGCCAGACGTCTGGATACTATTTAAATTATATGACACCAAAATGTCTTTCTATATGATATTTTTGCCTTGAAGTCAGTCTAWATCAAGATGGAATCACAGCTAATTGACATTGTCCAACACATAAATACGGTAGATCAATCAGTTTTACAGATGCTCAACTAAAATTTGATGATTTGCATTCCGGATTGCTAGGCCTTTATTTTTTCCGCATGCCACATTTTCTATGTCATGAATCCCAGAGGAGTTTTGATGCTGCCAGTGACTGTACTGTCAATGACCAATACAGGATTTGTTTTCCAACTGACCCACAGCCTGCAGGGTCTCTCATCCATAAATCAATACAACTAGCTGCTGGTAAATACAGCTTTGTGCAAATTATATACAGTGGCTCGCTAAAGTATTCATACCCCTTGAACGTTTACATATTTTTGTCGCATTACAACCACAAATATACGTAAATATATTTCATTGGAATTTAATGTGAAAAACCAACAAAGTAGTATACAATTGTGAAGTGGAAAGAAATTTATACATGATTCAAAACATTTTTTTTTTCAAAACAAAATGTGAAAAGTGCAGTGTGCAAAATTATTCAGCCCCCCTGAGTCAACACCTTGTGGAACCACCTTTTGCTGCAATTATACTGTAGCTGCAAATCTTTTAGGTTATGGTATGTTAGGTTACCAGCTTTGCACATCTAGTGACTGAAAATTTTCAATTCAGTTCACTTTCAATTTCAGTTTATTTATATAGCGCCAAGTCACAACTTACTTTGTCTTACGCTGTCTCAGGAAATGAAAAAAAAGAACAATCTAAAGAAGAAACAAGCAGATTGTGTTGAATCACTTCATCACAGTCTCCCATCCTGAGCAAACGGTGGAGAGGAAAAACTCCCTGCTAATCAGGAAGAAACCTCCAGCAGAACCAGGCTCAGGACAGGCGGCTTATCTGCCTCGATCGGCTAGGTTGGGGGAGACGATTTTTGCCCATTCCTATTTGCTAAACGGCACAAGCTCAGTCCGATTACATAGAGAGTGTTTGTGAGTAGCAGTGTTCAGATCTTGTCACAAACTCTGGGTTGGTTTAGGTCTGGACTTTAACTGGGCCATTGTAACCCATGAATATGTTTTGTTTTAAACAATTCCATTGTAGCCCTGGCTTAATGTTTAGGGTCAGTGTCCTGCTAGATGAACCTATGCCCCAGTATCAAGTCTTTTGCACACTCCAACAGGTTTTCTTCCAAGATTGCCCTGTATTTGGCTCCATCCATCTTCCCATCAACTTTGACCAACTTCCCGGTCCCTGCTGAAGAGAAGCACCCCCAGAGCATGATGCTGCCACCACCATATTTGACAGTGGGGATGGTGTTTTCAGAGTGATGTGCAGGRTTAATTTTCTGCCACCCATAGTGTTTTGCCTTTTGGCCAAAAAGTTCAATTTTCATCTCGTTTGACCAAAGCACCTTCTTCCACATGTTTGCTGTGTCCCCAAAATAGCTTCTTGCAAACTGCAAACAGGACTTCTTGGTTTTCTTTTGACAATGGCTTTCTTCTTGCCACTCTTCCATAAAGACCACGTTTTTGCAGAACACGACTAATAGTTGTCCAGTGGACAGATTTCTCCACCTGAGCTGTGGATCTCTGCATTTTGTCCAGTGTCACTGTGGACATCTTGGCTGCATCTCTGATCAGTGCTCTCCTTGTTCAGCCTGTAAGTTTAGGTGGACGGCCTTGTCTTGGCAGGTTTACTGTGGTGCCATACTCTTTCCATTTCCGGATGATGGATTGAACAGTGCTCCGTAAGATGTTCAAAGCTTGGCAAATCTTTTTATAGCCTAAGCCTGCTTTAGGCTTCTCCACCTTACTCCCGACCTGTCTGGTGTGTTCTTTGGACTTCATGATGCTTTTTACTCCCCAATATTCTCAACATCTCAATATCCCAACATCTGAGGCCATCATGGAGCAGCTGTTTTTGTACTGAGATTAGATTACACACAGGTGGACTCTAGTTATTAGCAGTCATCAGGCAACTTCTAAATGCAACTGGTTGCACTCAGAGAAAAGGGGGATTAATATTTTTGCACATCACACTTTTCACTTTTTTCTTTGTAAAAAATGTTTTGAATTGTWTTATTTTCTTTCCACTTCACAATTGTATTCCACTTGGTCTTTCACATTGAATTCCAATGAAATATWTTTATGATTGTGGTTGTAATGAGACAACGTACGGAAAAGTTCAAGGGTTATGAATACTTTTGCAAGACACTGTAGAGGCTGTCACAATTTTTTTGATTGTTTTGTGACATCTTTGTATTTTCTGTTTTGAGTTCATTTGTTTCTTTGGTTCACTTTAAGTCCCCTTGTGTTTAGTTTTTTTTTTTTTTTTTTGCTCATGACCAGCAGCCACTTGTCCCAGTACTTTTTGAAAGTTGGTCTCTGCTCCTCCTATTATGTCAACCACATCTGTTCCCCATTCCTATTAGTSTCAGCTGCAGTCACTTCCCTCTCTAGCCCCAGACTTTTTATTCCCAGTTTCTTACTACTCATCAGTTGAGCATTTTACATTCTGTGTTTGGTTTCCTCATGCGTCTTTGTACCTGGCCTTCAATGGAAGTTTTGCTGCCACTTCATAATTTTTGTTCTTACAAAAGAAAAAATAATAAACTACTGCACCAATTTCTAGATTAATGTCTGTAAAGTTTACTAAGTTATATACATATTTGTGTTGGCTGTCTGTTAGCAGTGGCAGCCATCTTAATTTGGATTGATTACAAAAGTTAGGGGGTATTCACAGAAAGGAAAGTCCTTTGGTCTTGAGTAAGTAGCCTTTATTATAATTTTTTTTCATTTGGTGCAGTTTGCATTCACATTGTGTTTTCTTCCAAGCAGACTATAATTCATAAACAAAGCCATGCGGGTGGCGATCATTGCTCCTATTGGACAGAAATGACAGGGGCGAGAGAGCACAGATCCGGGAAGAAAAATGGTGCTGTTAATACAATTGCAATAACATTTAGAATTTCAAGATTTAAAGGCGGTTTTACGATGATGTTCTTCTAAATTTGGGTGTTGGCAAATGCATGCCACGACCCAAAGATGACGAGATACTCTGCGTTCCCTAACCCACAACAGCTCATTGTTTGTAGCACAGTGATAATGGTGTCTCGTAAAGTCCAAAAAGGTGCATGTTTCCTGTACAGTAGTTGGTTTGGTTTGTACTCACACCAAAAGCAAACTGCATCAGAGTTTGTTTGGACCAAGACCACCTCAAAATTTGGTCTCTGTCTGGTTGTTTGTGCATGTGTATTCACACCTGCATAAAAGGTCTGGACCAACAGAGGAAACAAACTCTGGTCCGTTTAACGCGGACCAGATGTGTCAGGTGTAAATATACCCTTAATCAGTTGCAGATTTATATCCAGTGATTACGTTCTGAGGGTTGCTCCATATCTCATTTACTCCTCTCATCTTCCAGACCAGTGGGACCACATACAAGATGCAACTGTATGAAAAAGCAGACTTTGGAGGCCAAGCTGTAGAAGCCACAGAGGACTGCCCCTCACTCCTGGAGAAGTTTCGCTGGAGGGAGGTCAACTCTTGTAAGGTCCTTGATGGCTGGTGGGTTTTCTATGAGCGCCCCAATTACAGTGGTCGCCAGTACTTCCTGGAAAAGGGGGAGTACCGGAAGCCTGGTGACTGGGGTGCTGTCAGCGCTGCAGTGCAGTCCTTCAGACGACTCACTGAATGAAGGAAGCTCCATTGAAAGTATCTCCAACATATTGGATGAGYTTTGTCAGCACATTAAAGGTCACAGTTCTGTATGACTCTGTTGTGATTTTCAATTGAGGTTTCAACAATTAAAAACTGAAATTTAAATCCAAGACTTTAGATTTTTCTTGAGTTCTTTAATATCTTGAACCATCAATCCTTTATAAACATCTCAACACGTTTATCAACATGTTCAAGAAAAAAAATCACTCTGCCTCATAAAGCAGCCTGGCTTTTGGACCACAACATTCTCCGACATGTTCTCACAAAATCAAAACATTTCCACTGATGACTGGTACCGGTATCTCCACAGTCATAACAAAACATGAGTAATTCTGATGTTGCATTCATTCGACCTGCACGTTTTAAGAACGAGTGTACAAATAGCGATGAAAACACTGGGGAACAAGCAAAATACCAAATATTGTGCTGCTACGTGTGTGTTTGTAGCAGTATTAAATATCTCATGAACTGGATGAAATTTAAAGCAACTCTCAAAAAGTAAGTGGATAACTTATGGAGTCAACCAAATTTAAAGTAGACATGATTTTAAATCTTTTTTTTTTCCCATTTAAATAATTCAGCTATGGTCTATATAAAGTGGAACAGCAATTCTTTGGTCTAAATTCCTCATTTTAACTTTACAAGCCCCCCTTTCACCTCTTTTCTAATGTTTTTTTTTAAAGCAGCTCATTTTGACGCTGTCTCTTTAAGAGGTGCTGCACAACCCAGCGCCCTCCAGCTTTCAGACTGGTCCTTTCTAGTTTGATAGAGAGGTTTACCACTATCTTGCAGCACAGAAACATATTTACAAATTAATTAAAAGACTAAATGTAACTTTTCTGCGCTGTCAGAGACTCCAAGTACACAATAAAATGAATTTAACGGCTAAAAAAGTGGATTTTGTTTGATATGTACAGTTTAAGACAGCTAGGAGGAAAAATCAACAAACAGTTGATAACTGTCAGTTTCACAGATATTGAGCTAAAATTTAATACTGTAACTGTCATCTTCAAAACATACTGAGCACAAAACATTGTGTAACATCTTTGTTTAAAAGGATAGCCCAATCAGCATTGARGTGATGTTATATTAGTTTACAGTAGTTAGTACCTTAATTAACCTTGACATCAGTCAGAGAGCAGTTAGTTCGTCGCAGTTTTCTCATTTGAACAATGTCCATGTAATTTCACAAATTCAATTCAATTCAAAAATACTTTATTGATCCCAGAGGGAAGTTAGGTGTTGTTGTAACTCATTTAACTAAAAACTTATTGTAGATGCTGATGGCTGTGGGCAGGAAAGATCTTCTGTAGCGGTCTGTATTACAGCGAAGTTGAAGAAGCCTCCGACTGAAGACACTTTGTCTTTCTATGACAGTCTGATGAAGAGGATGGTCAGGGTTGTCCACAATGTTCTTGATTTTATGTAAAATCCTTCTTTGCACCATCATCTCCAGAGGTTCCACAGTCGTCCCCAGAACAGAACCAGCCTTCTTTATCAGGTTGTTTAGCCTTTTTAGGTCCCTGGCTCTGATGCTGCTGCCCCAACAGATGATGGCAGAAGAGATGACGCTCTCAACAACAGACTTGTAGAAGATCTGCAGCATCTTGCTGCAGACATTGAAGGATCTCAGCTTCCTTAAGAAGTATAGTCTACAAATGTATGTTGTACGAAATTTAGAGACTGTTTATTCTGATGATGTTGTGGCTGCAGTATGTATCAGTCTGCTTGAGGAGTGTGTCGAGTGTCAAAAGTTTACTCAGCTCCTGACTGACACATTCAGCAGCATCAACATAAACAATCTAACATATAAGTTATGTGTCTTTTAACAAGTATTAGTTATTTAGATATTTTTTGATGCCTCCTGAATYTAAGGATGGCATTGGTCATTCTTCTTTTAAAAATAATTAATAATTTTGTCAAAATAGTTAAACTATATTTGTTAAAGTACAGGTTGTGTATTTTTTATTGGACGTGTGAAGATTATTTAAATCCATGACAATTTCTGCAGAGACRGTCACGTCTTCACACAGCAATACTAGAGATCACCATGTATTTCAGCTGTTCTGTCATTTAATAAGATATAACAAGCATGACTTATATTATCACTACATTCAAACCTTGTTTGAAAACACTCGTGTGGACTTTAACTGTCATTTAATATCATCAGCACAAGATTCAAAACACCAAAATTCCACGTGACAGAGGAGAATCAGAAGGGTAATGGAAGCACAGCGCTACACTACAGAAACATGAAAACTGAGAGACTATGTGGACTGGGGTCGATGAGGACATTTGAGACAGAAGTGCTTAATGTTAACAGGAAACAGGTGTAAGTGGGGGTGGCACGACTGATCAGCAGAAACTGGGAAAAGGTACAGATAGTGATGAAAACACTGGGGAACAAGTAAAATACCAAATAACACAAAGAAAACCAAACATCCTGACAAAAACGTGTCTTTAGAATGAGAATTTTTACAACGCAGAGTACTAAATGATGCATCTAATGAGGAACCATGGAAACTATTATATATTCAATTAAAAACAAAACAAGAAAAAAAACTCCACTGACTCATTCAGCAAGAAAATCATCTAAGTAAAACAATCCCTGAGAAAAAGACTAAAACAATTACAAATACAAAAGAAACCCAGTCAGAAATTTTGCCCAAAAATTTCTTTACTAGGATTTTTACATACTGTATATAACTGTATCTGCTGTAAGTGAATAAATGTGGGCAAACACAGCCCTGAATAGTGTTCTACAATAAAGTCTGACAACATGTTTTTCCATACCTTTTTCTTGTCTTTTTTATCCAGACATGTAAAATGCAAGCATATAATTCTAGGTTTTTCTGAACTATAGGAAACCTGAATGCCAGAATGAGAAAAAACCCTTTAATTTATGAAATACAAACATATTTTGTAAGTTAATCAACCTTGAAATGAAAATAATAAAACTTTTTAATAATCTGATAGGTGAAGATCTTCTTGCTTGTATTCACAATAACTACAGGAGGTGCTGTTGGTGGACTTCAGTCCATGAGGTCCTCACAGAAAAATGCCTGCAGAGCCTTTCCTTTGGAGATATACTTGATGTTCTCAATCTCACCACCACTATTGCTGGGCTTCTGAAAGTGGATTTCAAGGTGGTCCTGCAGGTCCTCTTCCTCCTCTGCATCCTCGACTCCATCCAGAAGGATGGTACGCTTCGCAGTGCCACAAAAGGTCTGAAATGGATTACAGTATATCCTTAAGGATCACCCTTTTCCTCGTCACACACCCTAACCTCTTGGTCTGCCCCTCTTACCATTGGTTCAAGAAAATATCACTCTGCCTCATAAAGCAGCCTGGGTTTTGGAACACAACATTCTCTGACATGTTCTCACAAGGTCAAAACATTTCCAATGATGACTGGTACCGGTAGCTGCATATGCATTATCTCTACAGTCATAACAAAACAAGAATCATTCTGATATTGCATTGCTTGCTGCATTCATTCGACCTGCACGTTTTAAGAACGAGGCCTTGTTGGTCATTTTGACCCAAGGGTTAAAAGAAGAAAAAATTTATTATTTTCTTTCTAACTGCTCTTTCAACAACTACTGTAATACAGTTTGTATTTGTGTTTCATCCACCTTAAATTAGCAACATCTATATTTAAGTGTTTGTAAATTGTTTTACTGCATTAAAATCATATTTTGACATATTAAAATCCTTTATTAAGAGGGTTTTAGGATAATAAAATTGTGGAACGTGTCCAGTTCTTTCAACAGAAACAAAGATTGTATATAATTTGTTTTACGCACTACTGATGATACACTTTTGAATCTTACAACTGTATTGCGGAAGATTTTTATTGTTTTATTGCATTTGTTTTTTCTTTTTCCTGTCATACAGCTTTCTTCCTGTTCATTTTCCATCCTGTTTATGTTATTTTGATTAACTGAAATAAATATGATTTGAAAATAGTCTGAACCCAGATTTTTCAGCTGTAAAATAAGCTCCCTGTTGGTATAACAAAGTATTTTATATTAATTTGAGATGTGGTCAAATAAAATAAAATGTAAAATTTAAATATTATCCATGACAGAACTGTCTAGTGCCCTGTTAAAAAGTACACAATCTTTATGTAGCCTTTTGTGTCTCCCTACAATAAACAGAAATATGAAAGTGATATTCTTAATTTGCTCACTTTTAACTGTGGGTTCAACGTTTAATGCTAAATGATCTATTTATGGTGTTTTCTTATTGATGTGCAAATTTAATTTATTTTAATTACATGGTTTTTTTTCTTACCTGAAACTTCTGCAGGTCATATTTGTATACTGGTCCAACCTTGAGGTTTACATCAGACTTTAGATGTGCATGGTACTCTCCTCTCATAGCCAGGCTCATAGTAACTACACACAGAAAACACAAACACATTGACTACAGGAAAGCCTATGACTCAAAGCCACACGCATGGATACTGGATCTTTTTGTGTGAACGTTCACATTACATTTTAAATGTGACCTGCATCAGACCCCTGTGTGAACGCTACACAGCACTGATGTGACACGCATGCGCAGTAAAAGACGTGACGTCTCATCAGCTGGCTTGTTCGTTTACAGAGCTAGCATGGATGCTACATTTTGCRCATCGAATCGGAAGTTGTTGTTTAACCAGAGCCGATTAAACAATTATCTGACCTGCTTGTTTAGTTCAGTGTTTATATCTGAACCTGCCTCTGACCGGGATGCTCCAGTGAAGCTTTTTTTTTTAACGAAACTACGAGCTGGAAAAAAGTATCGACCAAGTATCGAACTTTAGGATCGATACTCTCCGCGACCCAGGCTGGACATCGTTATTATCATACTATCTACGTGGAAAATGAAAAGTAAAAAGATGAAGCAACTGAACTTGTGTTATGGAGCTGTAAACACATGGAGCTACAGATTTAAACAGCGAGACTTGAGGTTAGTGTGTTATCGATCCTTCACCCCCTCCTCCTGATGAAAAAGTCAGATGAATGTGACATGAGCGTTCACACTGCAATCACTTTGAAAACATCAGATATATATCCGATTTAAAACCACATACTGAAACGGCCTGGGTCGGATTTGAAAAAATCGGATTTGTCTCGTTCAGACTGTCATAAAAAAATCAGATATGAGTCAGATGGGTCAAAAAAATCGGATTTGGGTCGGATATGCCTGCAGTGTGAACGTAGCCTTTGTTGAAAACTCAATGGGAATGTGGAAAATTACTCTAGAGGCCAATTCAAAGCAAATTGCACAAATCAGCATCAAATGCAGCATGGTGATACTCTATCTTGTTCTGCGTGAGCCTGAACCCCCTGAGCCAGTTCATTGGAAAGATGGATATTAATACTGGTTCAAATGCCTTGGAATCTCAAAGACAAATGGCAACCATGATGAGACTGCAAGGGAATCAGCCATAACTAGGAACCTACAGAGAGTAAGGGAGGTTAAGGAGACAGCATTATTGCATGAGCAAAATTATGGGAATAATCCTGTGTCAACAGAAACTGTTTGATTTGTTTAGACTGAATCTGCATTTGCATTCTGTAAAATTAAATGCATTGGTTTGAAAATGAATTTCACTAAATTGAAACTGAATTTTGGGTGGCTCAGTTGGTAGAACTGATGCCTCTCAGCAAGAAGGTTGCCGGACCTTTCCTCTGGAGAACAGACGGAAACGTTCATCCGCGCTCTTTATGAACTGTCTGAACATTGTGACTTCGGCGGAAATCGCGAAGAACACATTAGAGACCGGATCGTTGTCTGCATTTTGGATAAAGGTAAGATCTCTCCCAGAAGCTACAACTCATCCCGAACCTCACACTGGAGATGACTGTTCAGGAGGTGCGGCAGTTGGAGGAGGTTAAAAGACAAGTAAACCAGTAAGAACAGTCTGGTGGTGCGATCCAGGAGGTGGCACAGCATCATGACAATGACGTACGCTCAAGATGGCGGAGACCACAGACAATTAAAGGACAAAGAAATAATAAATAATAAATACTTTCTAAAGGGTAAAATTTATCCCTGCAATAAAATAACTTTGTACTCTTTTTGCCACTGTTACGGTAGATTGCATGAACTCTGTCACACTGTTGTAAAGGACTGATGTCAAACATAAATCTGTCAATCTTAGGGGTGTAAGAAAATATCGATACACTGAATTATCGCGATATTTCAWTTCCTGATACTGTATCAATATTCTAAAGCCCTGTATCAATTTTTAATTAAGGTTTAAAATGTCAACTTTCTTGCCAACCGTTCATTTTTATGTTGTAGTTCAGCCTCTGACCACTAGTTGGCAGCAGTGAGCCAGCCATTTGGCTCCTCTACCTCTTGAGCGTCAGAGAGTAAGGGTAGCATTAGCATTGTAAGTAAACATTAGCCTTTCTTTTTTTTCAGTAACAGGTTTTTATTTAATAGAATTTTTGGACAAAAAAATTGCAATATATTACAATATATTGCCTTGCTTACAGTATCGCAATATATCGGGATATATCGTTTCGTGACCCCTCTGTTATGATATGTATCGTATCACCAAATTCTTGCCAATACACAGCCCTAGTCAATCTGTGTTTGACTCTGTGGCTTTCTCAAGAACAAGCATGTGTGGCACAAAAATCAGTGTTTTGGATTTGAAACTGAATTGTAGAACTGAAAATGAAAGTATTCTAACTGAATTTTTAATAGAATGATCAAAATACAGTTTCAAAGCAAATTAATTCAGATTTAAAACTTTAAATTCAGATTCAATTTAATGAAATTCATTTTCAAACAAATGCATTTACAGTAGTTTCACAGTATGCAAATACAGATTCAATCTGAGCATCTCAAATTCAGTTTCTGTTGGCAATTTTCTTCTCATACAAATCCTTCAAATATGTCACTGCTGTAAGAGCCCGGAACATTGTACAGTAACATCCGGAGGTCCTGTGGTGGAGAATTACAGCGCTAAGATACTGTGAGACTTCTATAACCAGACTGACCAACAGGTGATGGCTAATTAACCAGGCACTGTAATGGTCGACAAATTTACAGAAGAAGTCAGTTTTGATAGATGTACCAATCCAAAATAACTGTAACATAAGGAAGAAGCATGAGAATCTCAAGAAATACCCAGGGCTGAAAGGGGAAATAGAGGCGTTGTAGGGAGTCAAGGCCTCAGTAGTCCCAGTGACCATTGGATCACTTGGTGCTGTGACCTCCAAACTGAAGAGTGACTCCAACAATTTTTAGTAACAAGCTCATAAATCTCTGTACATAAAAGCACAGTCATAGAAACAGCCAAGATAATAAGAGAACTCTCAAGCTCCCAGGCCTCTGGTAAGAGGACATGAGCTTAAGGTGAATTGGAACCACCACAGGTTTTAATGCTTACTTATTTATATGCAATAGAAATTGTCCTTCATAATGGGCCTCATGCAAGAACATTCATATCCTAAATTTCTCTTACTTTTGTTCATACGAAGGGTTCATATGAACATGCCATGTCAGATTCAACATAGTCTTCTATCTTCAGGAAAAGTGTGTAAATGAGCTGCGTAAACTGATGAATGCGTATCAGGTGCTCGTGCACGGGGAGAGGTGATAGCATAATCTACCAGCCCAAAAACACCATATAAGGCTACATTTCCTGACCTACATACCAGGAAGTGTCCATTCATAAATGACATCGCAAAGTAAAAAAGAAGAACTTTACGAGTTCTGAAACTGAAGTTCTGCTCCAGAAAAAACTCTGTCATTTTTAGCAGCGTCAGACCTGCTAAAACCAAGGAATAAAATGATGACTGTTAATGTCGTGTCTCCTGTGGGTCGTATACAGTCACAGAAATAAAAATCTATATCATATTCATCTCTCTCTAGTCCTGCTCCGGTTTTTCTTTTGTCAAATATTTTTTATTTAAGTGTAAACACCTGTGTTACATAGTTTTCATTTATTTGGATGAAGAGCAGTTGCGCACTGTTACCACCACCAGCACCACCCACCCCCACCACCACGGCCACCCCGTCTCCCCCCTCCCAACCGTTGCAAGTGTCAGATGCGGTTCTGAAAAAAAGCATTTTAAAATGTCTCCAAACTTCAATTAATGCATAATGTAGGTTGGATTTTAGTTTGAAATCTTCATATTAATATTGTAGTGTTATACAACAACATTAATAGCCAATTTAATTTAAAGGGGACCTATTATGCAAAATTCACTTTTTAAAGTTTTTTTTACTCAACTTTGGGTATGTACATCTTTAAAAAACAGTCATAGGACCAAAAAAAATGCACCCAGGGGCATATTTACTGTAAGTACCGGTATTTTTAATGTATATTAACGACAAGTTTTATACATCCGTCATTTTGTGAAGTCACAAGCCGTACGAAAACCCACCGGAACTTGCGTTCAGCAACCCCTGGGTGAAGCTCCTCCTCTTCAGTATAAAACGCCATCATGGTTGTTTTCACAACAAGCCTCCAATAGGGCAATGGGTAGTGTGTTGGACCAGAGAGCAGGAGACCAGGGTTTGAGACCGGCAYGGACACACTTTAATTATTTTTATTTTCGTTTGTTATGAACACGTTTTCTCATGTACCTCTATTGTTTAGCTTATTAAAGCCTTGTTAAAGCCTATTTGTTCGAGTTTCTGAGGTATTTTGACTGCTGCTGCTCCCTGCTGTGGTAACAGCATGCAGAGTGAGCGCAGAGCAGAGGAGGGAGAGAAAAAAAAAGAAGCTGCGACCGACTCTGCCTCTGGGTCTCATGTGGTTGAACAACGGAGCTTCTGCTATTATTAGCCATGCTAACGTAAACGCTGGCTTTGGAGGGCGGAGTTAATGTCAGCAGATTTTTGGAGGGCGTTACCAACAGAGCTCATTAACATAAACAGCTCTTCTGAACGGAAGTCAGAGCAGGCAGAACTAGAAAATGGGAAATTTTAAATAATTCTGAGAATTATGTGCATTAAATTGAATGAACACGGTCTGATAGCCCACAGACATACCATAAAAATTTCTAGGACCCATAATTGGTCTCCTTTAATTTAACCAATTTATGTCGTTAGTTACATTTAAAATCTAATTCCAGTTCAAACAGAATAACCTATTGTCAACATAATTATGAGTGTGATTTATTTTCAACTCAGAATATCTTCAATCTAATGAAATATAAAGTTATTAGTGAGAAAAATCCGTCTGATAACAGCAGACTGACTGCTTGTAAAATATACGACAGGTCTGGACCACTCGTGAATTTTGTTCGTGTCTAAAAAAATCTTAGAATACGAGAAAATTGGTGAATGCCACAAATTCTCCTAAATCACTCGTACACACAACTTAAGAACAAATCTGTTCATATGAATGGTTCTTGCATGAGGGCCATTGTTCCTATAAATATATATTAAAATAATTAGAAATCCATATCTAGATCAATCTTAGTTTGGCTAACAGGGAAATTCGAGGAAATATTTTATTTCCTTCAGTGTACCATCAGTTCGCACAGAACGTGGAAAAATAGCCTTCTCCTATTCTGTGCCATCTTCATGGAATTCGCTGCAGCAAGACCTGAAACTGTCCAGTTTGATCCCACTGGGTCATTTTAAACACACCTTTAAAGTCTCTCTTGTAAATGAGACTACATGTCTCAATGAGATTACCTGCCTAAATAAAAAAAATAAAAAAAATCAGGAACTGAATACACAAAGACTGGGACAAAGTTGCACCACATCCATTTCTCAGAGATCTGGTTAAATATACCTTCAGGATGCAGAAATGTAATGCGTCCTGTTCCTGTATTCTCATCATAATCCACCTTCTCCACCTCTCCTCCTCCCCTGCTGGGTCGAGAAAAACTCATCTCCAATCGGTCTTTCATTCTCTCCACTGGCATGGCGGGAGGAATATCCAATACTTCCAGCTCCTTTCTGGAGACATCAAGGTGAATCTGCAATGATAACAAAATTAGAGTATTAAAAAAATAGGTTTTCTTATAGGCAGAACAAGAAATACTTCAATAAATCATTTAGTTTGTAACAAAACAAAAGCACAAACAAAAGTGTAGCAATCAGGTCAGTAAATGATCTATTTAATTTTTGTAATCAAGTCAATTGTTAAGTTAATATTGATTGCATCTACAAAAGAAAAGTGTCAATAATTTATGACTGTACCTGAAACTTTATAGGAGTTTCTATGGTAATCTTTTCAGGTTTCACATTCAAAGTGGTGTTCTCACACGACACGAGGCAGCGGGTCATCATCAGGACCTTAGAGGCCACTGGAGGACAAACATGACAGACATATTGGAGCATTTCATTTACTTTTTCAGTTAGAAGAAAGTAAKGCTGAAGATGTGTATTATAGTAATAATTACGGTGGAGTTTGATGTGTACATATGCAAACTTGATCAACAACAAGTACATAGAATGAAATCTTTATTTGATCTCCTGTTGATTCAGATTTTCRTGACGTGAAATGCAATTGTAATCACATGTACTGTACATGTGTGTAAAGACATGTATGTCTGTGTATTTTTATGTATGCGTGCATATATATGATGTAACATGGTGCTTTTCACCACACTGCTGTTTTTTTTATATCTTTTATTTTTTTGTACCTGCTCTGATTTCTGTGCTGTCCACTTCCTGCCATGACAACCTAGTCACTGTTGGACTAATAAAGGATTATCTTACACTGTTCTGCAAGTTTTCTCACTTGTAAAAAATGTAAACGTCTCTTTTTTATGGTTCAAATCAGCCAGAACTCCAGCTCCCACAAATTGATAATCAATCGATTATTACCAATGTAACAAGCAGTTTACAGCCAACCAATCAATCGCTGCACACCTGTCCACAGAATCAGTTTCTTCTAATTCAGCCCCACCTTCATGAACAGACCAAAGATATGTCAAAGGATTTCTGGGACCCTATAGTAGATTTACACAAGGCTGAAAAAGATTACAAGACCACCAACAGGAGGCTTGGTGACAGGATGACAACTGTTGGTGCCATTATTCAGAAATGAAAGAAATATATGTATAATGTATGTCCAGATACCCCTTTTTCAGATAAACTGGGGGTCGGGGGAGTCGGGGCACTCCCCCGACCCCCAATTTTGGTTGGTGGGCCTGATGGATACAGCCTCTTTGGAGCTAAACAACAAAAGAAATCTGAAGCTTCTATGTTTAACAGTTTCTGAGTTATAAGCATTTTTGCATGTCCAGACAAYCCCTCTTTGAAAGGAGGCCCCTCCTCAAATATGGGGTCTATCGTAAAACTGTTGCTGGTGCGGTGTAGGTCAGACTCATCTACAGTCCTGCCAGATTTCATGTCCATTGGTGCAGCCTCTGACATGGCTCTCTATAGTATTTTAGTTATTCCTGGCTGTGCAGCCTCAGTATCACTATCACGATCAAACAGATACCACTCAACCAAACATTTCGCCTACCAATACAGAAACAAAAACTTAAAAAAGGGAAAATCAATATCGGGCATTAATATCGGCCCCGTGTTACATATTGGGCCGATACCAATGTCAATGCCGATATACAGCGGGTAAAATAAGTATTGAACATGTCAACATTTTTCTCAGTAAATATATTACTAG